AGAAGCTCGACAGTTGGCACGCCTGCATATCACGCAACAACAAACTGCAGATGCACGCCGCTACAATCTTCGCCATCGACAGGTCGAATACCACCCAGGAGATCTAGTTTGGGTATGGACTCCGGTTCGCCGCCAAGGGTTGTCCGAAAAGCTCCTGAGTCGCTACTTTGGACCCTACAAAGTAGTGCGTCGCATCAGTGACGTGAATTATGAGGTGGTTCCATATGGAACCATGTCACCCCAGCGTCGAAAGCACTACCCAGAGATTGTTCACGTTGTACGGCTCAAGCCGTACTTCGTACGTTAGTGGGACCGTGCCTCAGCCTTGTTCTTTTGTTGTTGTTTTTTTCTTAAGTGTGCCCACAGTGTGCATGTCTGCTTTACTTCCGCTTATCCACTACCATTCGCGCGAGCATCGGGGCGATGCTTTTTTTTTTTCAGTGGGGGAATAATGCCACCTGGCCATGAACTGCGGCGAGCACGAGCCCGCATCGAGGAGAAAAACGAGGAAGAAGTTGTTGGGCTAGCGCGCCCTCGCCGAGGCTTTTGTTTTTGGTTGTGGTGTCCCTGACCTGCGCCTCTGTGACTACGCGGTATTCTTTACCTGAAGTCCCTCTTGTTCACGCGCGACAATATTTTATGGTCCTCTACCCAACTCTCTTCGAGGCAACCGGTATATTATCGTCGCCGTAGATCATTTAACACGCTACGCTGAAACATCTGCGCTGCCTGCTACCACTGCGAAAGACGTTGCGTCCTTTCTTCTTCACCATCTCATTTTGCGACACGGTGCACCTCGTGAATTACTCAGTGACCGTGGACGCGTGTTTCTCTCGAACGCCGTCGACGAGCTACTCAAGGCATGTCGCACTGTCCATAGGAAATCCTCGGCATACCATCCCCAAACCAATGGCATGACAGAACGCTTTAACCGTACCCTTGGAGATATGCTTGCCATGTACGCCTCTGACGACCACACTAATTGGGACCAAGTGCTCCCTTTTGTCACGTACGCGTACAACTCTGCGCCACAACAACCACTGGCTTTTCTCCTTTCTTCCTTCTGTACGGACGTGAGCCATCATGCTCCATGGACACCATTCTCCCTTACAAGCCTGATGTTTCCGAAGCGACGCCTGTTTCCGAAGCAGCTGCTTATGCTGAAGAGTGTCGTCAACTCGCTCGCTCATTTACCGCACAGACCAATGGCGCCAGAAAACTGACCACGATTCCTCTGCGTCTACTGTACACTATAACCCAGGAATGCTGGTTTGGCTCTGGGTCCCGTCTACCCCTCCCGGTCTTTCCCCGAAGCTTTCGTCGAAATACCATGGCCCCTACCGTGTGGTGCGGCAAACATCTCCTGTCAACTATGAAGTTGAGCCCATTGATCCACCCTCGGACCAACGCTGCCGTGGGCGTGAAACAGTACACGTATCACGCCTCAAACCGTGCTATGACCCCCTTGTCGTGTCCTTTCCCTAGGTCGCCAGGTTGGCTCCTTTCTGCGCGGGGAGTAATTGTACCGAAGCATAGTGGCGCCAGCTCTGTGCCAGCGTGAAAGAAGACGTTGACGTCCGTGTGTGGCTCGTGCTTGCCGGGTTCCTGCCTGTACCAGCTGGTTGCGGCTAACGTTTCTGGAATAATAACCTGTGTTTTTACGCAACCTTGCTCGTTGCAATATATATATATATATATATATATATATATATATATATATATATATATATATATATATATATATATATATATATATATATATATATATATGAATATGCAAGTCACACAATATGAAGAGCACCTAATCTACGAGTAAAAGATATTCCTTCCATGCGCGAGCCCGTGGCGAGCACGTTGTTTACAAATAAAAGATAAAATGCATAAAAGATAAAGCACATAACATGAATAGTAGTCCGACCGGTGAAAGCAAGGGAAAAAAACTATAAAGTACTAACAAAAATGACAAAGACGTTACAAAGCTGCTACGTAATCAACGGATACAGACAATGTAGTGCGACTTGCTGAGCAAGGTTGAAAAAAGATGGACAGGGTGATGCAGGTTACGCAGATAGGCAACTAAGTTTTCCTACGTTTTCATTCAGACCAGATGAGACGGCGTTGAACTTATAGATGAGGAATGATTCACGGGCTTCTCTATCATAATTTGTGCGGAAACCAGATTCTAGTAATGTGACCTGTAGATTTTCAAAAGAGTGGCCAGGGAGGTGCACGTGTCTTGAAATGGGCAAGTGGGGCAAGGTGTTAGCATGAGATTTATGGTTGTTAAAACGCAGTCTAAAAGGCCCTTCTGTTTGACCAATGTACTGTATTTCACATAGCGCACATTCTATCAAGTACATCACGTTCTTAGAATCGCAGTCAAGATTGCCTTTGATTTTTAAGGAAAAGTTGGAACCAGTACTGGTGACCTGTTGGCATGTGCGCATGTAATGGCATACTTTGCATCGCGGTTTTCGGCAAGGATGGCACCCGATCGTGTCAGGACTGTCTGCTTTCGACGATGATGACGATGAGAGTATGTCTCTAATAGTTTTAGCTTTGCGATACACTGCTTTAGGTGGTTCGGTGAAAATGTTTCTTAAGCGTTCACTTTGCATTAGAATATTGTGGTGCTCTCTCGGCACATTCGAAACATGCGGAACTGACGCAGAATGGGTAAGGACTAAGTTGGTCTGCGGTGAGGGAGTTGAGTTTTTAGCAGCGCACAACAGCGTTCTACCATTATGCATGTCGGCATGTGGCAACCTTTCGTGTCAGGTAGTGCTCAATGTACATGCCAATGGCTGCTAAGGGGAATGAGAGACAGGAGAATTCGGCTTTTAGTTAACGCGCACGCTGCGAATTTTCCATTGTTCAACAACGCACAGAAGACCCACCGGCACGACCTTAGAGGTCAAAATGTAACACTTGTTACACACTACTACTACGACTACGAGGGACGAACGAGTGCCGCCATAAGGAGCTTAGCCCCTATAAAGAAAATACTTTCACCTTCCATCAGCATGCTTCGCATAATAATGATTCGCAAGGCACGTGGTATCTGCCAGTTTTTTTTTTGTTTTTTTTTTGCTACAAGCGAGCTTTTTTTTTTTGTGAAAGCACAGACACTTTCAAAAATGTGCTCACGTATAGCCGGCTTTCTTTTTTTTTCTTCTGTAGCTGTAGCTGAAGGCCCCGGTGCCTTTCATTGTAGCTAGGCTCTACAGCCTAGCTATAGTGAACTAGTTCACTGAACGCTGTAGCACAGGCTAACTAAAATAGAGAGTCTTAATTGGTATAGCGGGAAACAGCAAAGTCAAGGATCTAGCGTTAGCGTTAGCGTTGCGTGTTCCAAACTGAGCAGGGGCAGAATGTTAACGTAGCCTGAGCTTTAAGGCACAAACGCAATTGACAATTTCCGGAATGTAGCGTTCAACGCTAACGCACGCAAGATATCCCGTACGTAGAACAAGATTGCGGTGGTTGTTGAAGCGAGTGCCGTCCACTTCAAACTTATATATATATATATATATATATATATATATATATATATATATATATATATATATATATATATAAGAAAAGTTGGTGAAAAAATAACTTGCCGTGAGCAGGAATCGAACCTACGACCTCCGAATAACGCGTTCGATGCTCTAACCACTGAGCCCTCACGGCGGCTATTCCCCTATTCCTCTAGCCACTTTATTGGGTTTATGTGTGAATTTTAACGTGGGAGTGTCAGTTAGATATCATTATACTGTGTCAAAACACGGAAAAACGAGCCCTTAGGCATACACTTCTTGCCATTATATATATATATATATATATATATATATATATATATATATATATATATATATATACATATATATAGTCGTCATCCTGCCTTGTTAAACTCCTTCACTCGCAAATACTGGTCGTATTTGATTTAGACTGGAGCCTTCGCCAGCTGCATACTGCCGATAAAAAAATTACGTTTTTGGGAGACACACTCAATGTGGTGTGCAAAATGCTTCGAAAAATTGCCTATAACGTTCGCTCATGTTTTAGGCAGTAACGCAGACATGATGACGCCGTACTCATTCACTTGTTTCCTGGATAAGCGAAATGCGCCCACAAGTCAACCTGAGCCAGGTAATAGCGTTCTTGAGGGGTACTCGATTACGGCATATTTCTAAAGATAACGGTGTGTTTCGGGCAGTCAGGTGCAACACTGAACCAAGCTTGGTACGAAGACGCAGCAATGGTGACTTCGGGTCAATTTGATTTAGTGGCCCACTTGAAGTTTCTACAGTGCATACAGTGTTTGTATAAAGAGTTGGTGCAGTAGGTGCTTTCGTTTGCTCTAGCGGGAATGCCTTACGTTGCACTAAAATACCACCAGTTGGCGGGCGGTGCGTTCCGTTGTAGTGTTAACGCTGAGATACATGCTAACGCGAGCGTCTTGCGTTATGCTAGAAGTCTCTAATGCCAAACAGCGACAAACCCGCGTAGGCACCAACGTTAAAGCTACCGGGACACGATGGCTGAATGGATATGGCTAGCGCGCAGTACGGCAATATGCATGCTCAGCCACAGTCAACATGTCAGTTTACGTTTTAATCCTATTGTGCTCTTATTAATCCTTCCTTTTGTTTTGAACTAATACGCGGGACTATCAATTTTTATTTGCGTTATTTCGTTGTTTTTTCAACGGTGCAGGACACACCTGTCCTGTAAAACAGGACACCGAGAAGGAACACACAACAACAAAAACGCTGAGTAACAAATGATTACTCGTTCTGTGTTCTTTCTCATTCTCCTACCTTATGCACGCTGCACTTTTGGAGATACTAAGCGAAAAGTTGGGGATCCCGATTCTACTAATTATGTGTGCGCGCCTTTCGAAAAGAACTATCATCACCATCGTCCATCGGGTGACACGTATATGCCACCATTACTTTCGTGGCCGCAGTGACTTCGCTTTTTCGTGTCACCGAGGCCGATTCTCGATTATCTCAATGTTCGACCAGTTCGACGCGAGCACTCGTCAAGCGCTGCTGCTTCTAGCGGCCGGCGCCGGCATCCTGATCCTGTGGGCTCGGCGCAACGCAGCAAGCTCGGAAGAGAAGCCTGACATAGCGCTGCTGAAGAATATTCACCGTGACTACATTGTCCATTTAAAGGAGCGGGTGCAAGTGACGCACAACACGGTGCTGCTACGCTTCGCGCTGCCCAGCGAGGACCAGGTCAGTAGCGGGCCCCACCGCGATGGTCTAGTGGCTAAGGTACTTATTTGGCTACTGACCCGCAGGTCACGGGATCTAATCCCGGCTGCGGCGGCTGCATTGTCAATGGAGGCGAAAATGCTGCAGGCCCGTGTGCTCAGATTTGGGTCCACGTTAAAGAGTCCCAGGTGGTCGAAATTTTCGGAGCCCTCCACTACGGCGTCTCTCATACACATATGATGGTTTTGGGACGTTAAACCACACATATCAATCTATCAATGATCTCTTAGCGGGAAAATTAAAACAAGCGAAGGATGGTGGGCTCGTCGATAATCTACTCTTCTTTCTTCCTCTCTTTCTTTTCTTCTCTTTATTATGTTGTGAAACCTTTCTTCATGCTGACAATGGGCCCTTGACACGCACGCTTAGCAGTCAGCAATATTTCACATGCTGCCGGCAACAACGCTGGCATTTAGTCAACAGTGAAAGGCAAAGCAAGGACATGCAAAGTTTCCAAGGTAACTAAAAATTGATCTGATTGGATCTGAGTGGAGTTTAACGTCCTCAAAACAACCATACGATTATGAGACGATGTAGTGGAGGGCTCCAGAACTTTCGACCACCTGGTGTTCTTTAATGTGCACCCAAATCTGAGTACACGGGCCTACAGCATTTTCGCCACCATGGAAAATGCAGCCGTCGCAGCCGGGATTCAATCCCTTGACCTGCGGGTCAGCAGCCGAGTACCTTAGCCACTAGATTACCCCGGCGGGGCCCAAGGCAACTGAAGACCTTGCTTGGAGAATTATAACGGCGAACGTCATAGTAGCTTGCGAGTTGTTTGCACATGATCTTGTTCTTGTAAAACCGAAGCTACAGTCTTGGACGGACTGTATATTATAGCTTGGGCTTCCAGCTCGTAAATGCTATGACCATGTATTGTCAAAGGACTTTGCTTTCAGAATTATATATGTGACATATAGAACCTGGTAAGCGACCTGATCAAAAATAACGTTATTTTTTCTGCTTCTCTTTATTTTTTGTGTGCACAAACAGGTGCTCGGTTGCGCCGTTGGACAGCACGTGTACCTGAGCCTGTACAAAGGGGAGCGGCTGCTGGTTCGTCCATACACACCTGTCAGCCTCTGTGACCAGCGTGGCACTTTCGACATCATCATCAAGGTGTATCGGCAAGGAACATCGTTGAAATACCCAGATGGCGGGATTATGTCGCAAACGCTGGACAGCCTCTTACCGGGTGATCCCGTGCAGGTATGTGTTCGGCTCAATGACGCTTACTGTTCCCATTACAATAGTCTTGAGAGCCTTATGAGATGTGCGACAATGGCGCCTCGACAGCGGCACTCGGTGAAAGCTATGTAGCCACCTAGCGCAGGCAAAATTGCCTTACGACGTCATTGTTTAGCGCACCAGCGCCACCTATTCCGGGTGCTGTGTAACTGTATTTTTGAGGGCGCTGCCGTTTGAAATCGCAGCGCCGTCTATGATATAGCATACAGGGTGTCCCACATAACTTGAGCCAAGAATATAATAATGAAAGACTCTTCAGTGGCGAATTGAACCAAACGCATACTAAGGACTCTCAATAGCCTGTAGATACTCAGGCTATATTTTTTATTTCTCTTAATACTAATTAACTAATTTTTTAATTAACGTATTTAATTATGTGGCGGAAACCCGAAATATGAACACTGATATGTAGAGCATTTTCAGAAAGCCCCGACTAAATCGTTTCTTGTCGATACGTCTAGTGCTGTTATATGTATAGCATTTTCAGAAACCTCCGAACGAATTGTTTCCTGAACGATACGTCTCGCGCTGTTGTTTTTTCCACGTTGTAAAGAAAGCCCACGAAATGTGGAAAGAAGCCGTGTGACGGAACGCGAGCACCTTGCTATAGTGCTGCTATAGGCTTTTTTTACAACGTGGAAAAAATAACAGCGCGAGACGTGTCGTACAGGAAACAACTTAGTCGGTAGTTTCTGAAAGTGCTATACATGTCAGTGTTCATATTTTGAGTTTCCAGTTCCTAATTACAAAAGTATATAATTGAAAATTCGTATTAATTAGTATGGGGAGAACTGAAAAATAGCTTGAGTAACTACAGGCTAGTGCGAGTAGTACGCGTTTAGTTCAATTCGCCACTGAAGTGTCTTTCATTTTCAAATTCTTGGCTCAAGTTATGCGGGACACCCTGCATATCGCTGGTATGTCCCATTGTTCACTAACCCAAGCGCAGTGTACAAGTTGTTGGTGAGCTTAGCATGCTGGTATTTAGTAGGCCAGCTTCCTAAGCTTCGTCGTTCGCTGAAATTTGCCGAGCTCACTTGAGCTCCTCATTTATATGTGCGCATTTATCATCTAGACCCGAAACACGCCCAATTCTTGCTGAGCATGAGCATCAGGAAACTCCTTGACAATCCTCTTTTGTGCTAAGCGATGCAATGTCCCTTTGAATGTGCGCCAGGTTTTTAGCATTTTCCTCCTGTGCACCAACCGCTATGACCGAGTATACGTTATACATATGGGCGTCGTCGTACTGGGATGTCAAATAATTGTTTTTTAACGTTCGTATACCGCAACGTTATTTAAAGTAATGAAACGTCAAATTCCCCAAGCCAACTGTTTTCATCCATCCGCGTGTACCTTAATACTGTTCGCATAGTTTAAAAAATGCAAAACTACAAGATTAAGACCAAATACGGGGACACTAAAGTAAATTTATAAAGTATTCTAAAGCCGCCATTGTCAATTGTACAAGATACAGCGGAAGGTGGCAATACTCGAAACCATGTCTTTCTCACCTGCTTCATTTCAGGGGTGTACAGGTTGTCGAAAAGTAAAAACTTATCACGTGAGGTGCTCCAAAATAGGCAAGGCTAGATGCCACTGTGCTCTATCGGAGAAATGGTTCTTTATTTGTAAACAGAAATGCGTCAGAGAATACGGTGATAATTACCGTTATTAAACATGCAACCACTTCTTTGATTATCAGGTTGGCATGCATGCAGTTTTGCGTATAGTTTGGTCACAGATGGCGGCTTCCGCTTTACTCTTGGGGCACCTATATTTTATGAGGGATCACGGTGTCAAAGATCAATGGCTTACTGCGTTTGATGGAATACCGCCCAAGCATCCATTGTAGGAAATATGAGCCCCTTTGAACGGAGGGAAGCTGCGAGAGTGTTGATAGAATCGCGAATGCACACAAAGTATACTCTCGACATGCGAGCATGGTCTGGTACGCTCTTGGCCTTGTGAATACATTTTCTATACTTAATTTCACCCTCTAGCATTCATGCTAATTTTCTGTTACAATGCCTCGAGTATGTACAGCATCAACGGAACTAAAATAGCGCAAGTGAACGGTGCCCGGAACCTCTAAACGCTCCATTGCGATATGTGGTGCTGTCGTTCAAGAACACGCCGACATAGCGGCATTCCAAAGCACAATCCATTTACCAGGAGGGATCCGGCCAACGAACCGGCGGAAAGCAGCCCACTTCCTATTGGCTCATCCGAAAGCCCACATCTTACAGAAACGCTTGTTCATTGCTTTTCTCGTAATGTGGCTATGCGCGCAGTATCCTTCTTGTTGTGGTTTCCTGCTTTCGTTCAACTTGCGAGCAAACGTATATCCTTAAGGCAACTCCACAAAAAAAGTTGCCTGTTAGAGTAATTTCCGCCGGCCACCCCTGCTTTGGAAAATGGACTGCACACCTCGGCGCTTTAGGCGAGAAAGACCTCGGACTCGAGTTTGCCGCAGTAATATCGCAATATACGATGCACCCATGGATGATTTGATTGATATGCGGGATTTAACGTCCCAAAAGCACCATATAATTATGAGAGACGCCGTAGTGGAGGACTGCAGAAATTTCGACCACCTGGGGGTCCTTAAACATGCAACTAAATCTGAACACATTGGCGTATACAGCATATCCGCCTCCATCGGAAATGCAGCTGCTGCAGCCTGAATTCGATCCCGCAACCTGCGGGTCAGCAGCCGAGTACCCCACTAGACCACCGCAGTGGGGTGCCTTTTTCATCCATTTGATAGAGTAATGTGATATGAAGGTACTGCAGTAATACGAATACCATTGATCTGCATTTATTAATGGCTAATGTTAGTGTATATGTTTGCCTAAACATCTTTCTTCAGTTCTTACGCTAGCTACTCTACATTCATGATCTATCTATCTGAATAACATGCTGTGTTGTGAATGCAACAGTTTGTAATAACTACATACCCACGCAGATGCCAAGTACCTTGTCCCGAATAAAAAATGGCAAATGTTCAAAAAATTCTACAAGACATCAAAAGTTTGAAGCGCCAAGTGCACCAAACTGAGAAAAAGTATTGGATAGTATTCTGAACGGATATTCATCAACTGATATCATGAAGTAATAATATTCTTTACTGCCACCTAACCGTTACTACTTATCACTACGCAATACTAACTAATTTCTGTGACATAAGAAGGATCGAAGGCCACGGTATGCTGTGCTCGTGTAACATTTCCAGAATAGTCTATAGCAGTACAACAGTAAAGTAAAAGCACTTGGTCACATGGACGCCACGGTGCTTTAATGGTTAAAGTGCTCGACTGCTGACCCGAAGGCCGCGGTATTGAATCCCCGCCACTTGATGATATTGATTGATATGTGGGGTTTAACGTCCGAAAACCACCATACGATTATGAGAGACGTCGTAGTGGAGGGCTCCGGAAATTTAGACCACCTGGGGTTCTTTAACGTGCACCCAAATTTGAGTACACAGGCCTACAGCGTTTTCGCCTCAATCTAAAATGCAACCACCGCAACCGGGATTCGATCCCGCAACCTGAATCTCGGCCGCATTTTCGATGCAGGCGTAAATAATTGAGGCCTGTGAAGTTTGATTTAGAGGCGTGTTAGAAGACCCGAAAACCCAGGTATTATTGTTATTCTTGTTGTTGTTGTTGTTGTCGTCGTCGTTATCGTCATTGTTGTTGTTTTTGGTGTTGTTGTTGTCTCAGCACACGGGCTGGCATATTGGGAACCATCTGCGATGGCGGCTATAGCACAGAAGTGGAAGCGTGCATTTTTTTGCCCCCTCGCACGCTTCCTACACCACACTGATTACTTTCTTCCGTTCCTGTTCCTTTGATGATTGGTGACTGTTCTACACTGTAACTCATACGGCATGCGCTTCAGAACCGCACGTTGTGAAAACCATTCGGCATCCACCCACTACGGCGTAACTTGAACCAAGTAGAACCCCAAATTTCATACCGTGTCTTATATGCCATGATATTTGTCTATTTTGTATATCAACTACCGTTCAGCATAGTGCTACGTAGTGAACTTTGACAAATTGAGCTCGACTCACATATACCTTTCTAACAGCTTGCTTTGTTCTATGACCTGTTCGTGCCTTTCGAGAACTATTCATACACGAACGAGAAGCCTATGCTGAAAAGCTTTCCATGGTTGGCAGTGGTTCTAGAACACAAAGGCCAGTGAACGAGGGAACGAAAATGTGAGGTGACGAGGTGCTCACTCATCGCCATACCTAACATCCTAATGTGAGTGTAATAGTGCATGTAATGGCGGAGTATACGCAAGACTTCGTAGGCGCTACTCCGTGCCGCTAACATAGTCCGTGTAACGTTTCAGCTATGCTATTCCGCCGAAGTTCTGTGCCAACAGGCCTAAGGTGCTTTTAAAGTGAAAACCATAAATGCCCCATCAAACGTTCGAAGCATACATCCGCGCTCTCAGCACGAGTGATGCAAAAAATCACTTGATTGTGCCCCAATATGACGTCAACAGGAAGTCAAAGGTCACGGAAATTCATAGCGCCATCGTGACGTCCCTATATGTCGCCCGACGCGAAGTCACATGATGACTGCATCACGTGACGTCTTCGCTTGTTCAAAGGTGGTTCGAACACACACACACATATATATACATACATACATACATACATACATACATACATACATACATATATATATATATATATATATATATATATATATATATATATATATATATATATATATATATATATATATATTGAGAATGAGTTGCACTACGACTCTCACTGAAAACAAGCATATGTGAAAAATACACTCACAGACGTAACGCAATAAATTTTCTAAACAATTTCCTTATATAAACGAAACTATAGTTCGTGCTTAGAAAAGCCCGAATATTGATGAGAATGCGCACACGCTGAATAATGGTGTACTCACCGAGAAGAAGTAATCCGTTGTTAGCGAATTCATTGAAACCCACTATCGTAGTGTCCGTCACCTTCATTGCGCAAGTTTCTGATTTGTGTCGTTCTCCATCGCGCGTCGTCTGCATCCACCAGGAAATAGTAGAACGATATGTTGCAATCTTTTCACCATGATGCCATGCATTGCGAAAAAATGCAATAGCCTCTGAACATCACTTTCTTATTTTTTAGGTTCGTGTGTGGCATGACGAAAAGAAAGAAACTATGAGGCCATGTCTCAACACACGCAACGTGGTCACATGTCTCCTTTTAAGGTTGACCCTGTTAGCGCCGTTTCCAGACGCGCCCGCCGGAGTCTCAAATATATACGGGCTGGCTAGGAAACGGGTGGGAGCGCGAGCAATCAACGTTTCCAATCAAGAAACTTGCTAGCCCACGCTTACCCCGCTGCGGTGGCCTATGGGCTTAAGTACTCGGCTGCTGACCCAAAGGTCGAGGGATCAAACCCCCGCTGCGGCGGCTGCATCTTCGACGGAGGCGAAAACGTTGTAGGCCGGTGTGCTCAGATTTTGGTGCACTTCAAAGAACCCTAGGAGGTAAAAATATTTGGAACCGTTTGCTACGGCATCTCGCATAATCATACAGCGGGTTTTGGACGTTAAGCCCCACAAAACAATCAACTGCGTCGCCGTTGCGAGGGTAGCTATAGGGAGGCGTGCCTGCATCGGTGTTGCGAGGCGAGATAAGAGGAGCGTAGGAGAGGGGAGAGAGGGAAGGGACGCGCATACGCAGTAAGGGTGGTCACGCCGCACACCGAATGAGCTCTGCCATAAAAAGCTTCGCATCTAAAAGATGGTGATGGCTTTTGAGTACAAGTCGTCTGAGGGTGAGGCACAAGGAACATCGTTTATTTTAATTTCGTCGGGTCTTGCCTCTTGCTTTACCGCACTTACGGCTCCAGAAATCATTATTTCGATTAGCTATGTGCTGTTGTTTATTAGATGGCTTGGTAGCTTACGGTATGTGATAATTGTCATTGTTCGTCCGTACAGATTCAGGGACCGAAGGGGAAGTTCGAGTACATTGGTCGTGGCCGGTTCCTGCTGGAGAAAAGTAGCGTGATGTACGTCGCCTCGCACATCGGTCTGGTGGCTGCCGGTTCGGGAGTGACGCCCATGTTGCAGCTGCTGCGCCAGACGTTTGCGGACGCGAGCGATTTCACGCGCATGTTCATGGTGAACGTGAACCACTCAGAGAGGGATATCATCATGCACAAGGAGCTCGACGAATACGCCGAGAGCCATCGCAGGACATTCAGGTAGAGCATTTGGTCCACCATGATGTGGTGGTTTTTCTAAGAGTACAGTAAATAGAGCTTAGAAAGAAAGAAAGAAGAAAGAAAGAAAGAGAAAGAAGAAAGAAAGAAAAAGAAGAAAGAAAGAAAGAAAGAAAGAAAGAAAGAAAGAAAGAAAGAAAGAAAGAAAGAAAGAAGAAAGAAAGAAAGAAGAAAGATCTACGCATCTCTGAAAGACAGAACGATCTACGTGTACATTCATGATAAAAAGGTACATGCGCAGAGACGGACATAAGAGAAGTAATAAAGACCACACAAACACCGCCTGTCGAGTAAAAAGTGCGCTGCACAAGTGCCGGGCCGACAGGTATTACACCACTGCATGTTTGCGCATGTGCAGATTACTCTTAAGTGCGAAGCATTTCTTCGCGAACCGAACGCACTTCTATCTATCTGTCTCTCTGCTATGCACGATTCAGTTAACCTGTCAGAGTTTAAGTGCCCCGCCACTTTGAACTGGTGGCTGCGTTCATACTTGTGAAGATTGTCAATCAGAAAGCCAATATGGGGCATATCTCAGGCGCAACATAGGTATGTAAGGATTGAGTGGTGTGTTCGTTTACTAGATTATACCTAGACACGTAATTTAAACGTCCCTGGTGTTCTATAGGTTGTGCTGAAAATGTGACGCTATGCACAAAAGAATGCCGGCAGGAGACTATCGCCTTTCTAGGACATTTGCAGTGAAGTACGCAGATACGCGGTCAATTTTTCATTATGAAAAATCTGTGATTCTGATCTGTCCATGTCTCTACGCGAGCGCTTCTTTATTTGTTGGTGATAACAAATGTGGGCTCGTCTCTTTAACGCCGGCCTCGCAGGCTGTGCCACGTGCTGACCAAGATGCCCGAACGCAACAGGCTTCGCCAAACGCACGTGGGCTACTTGGCTGGCCCACTGACACAGGCCATCTTGGAAAAGTACCTGCCACCACCTTCCTCGTACAGCGTCATCCTCGTCTGCGGTCCACCTCTGTTGGTCAGCAATGTGTGCCAACCCGCACTGAAGAACATCGGCCACGACCGCAAGCGTGTGCTCGTCTATTGAGAGGCCTCGTCTTACCTGTGCTTCCTTGCACGGGGTCTTTTGTTTTATTTTCGTTATGAACTATCTTACGATATAACCTGCGCATGTTGGTACACACGGTGGTGATACATAAAGTGACGACTCAAAAAAAGGAAAGTTAACGCACTGATTCATATCATTTTGCCACTGCAGCTTCCCTAGATATCCGTTTGTTTGATACTTTCAGTGCCACCTGTCTAGTCTTTATCTGCCGCTTGCTACATTTTTCAGAACATTCGTGTGCCCTCGAGAGAATTATTTGATGTATCAATAGATCGCTTTAAAATAAATCTCTAAATTGACTGTCATTTGCTCGGACGGAGCTACTGGAAAAGTCTTCAAGCATACACGAATGCAAGTAGCTTGGTGTTCGGTAAAGGAGGCGGTTAGATGATGTAAGTTATGGGCAAAACCCACGATAACAAAGGGAGGGAGAAACGGCACAGCTTTGTGGTGTTACAATTGGCACAAGGAGTGAACAGTTTCGATGCCAATAAAGAAATTAAAAGGTGCCATCGTCCTAGGAGTTAAATTTGGCAACTCAGTTGTGTGCTTATTTGATATGTGGACTTAATGAAAACCAAATAACTCTGGGACGCGCGGATTTCATGCTCGCATAGGCGTACCCGGTTGTTGGCACACCAGGCCCGTGCCCTCCGTCCAGAAGTTTTGCTTTGCCATGGCACATAGAGAGCGGAAGAGGACCATTTCTAAGGGGTACGCACCCCTGAAATCAAGGAGGTTTCCCCCATCCTACCAAAACAAACTTCTTGAACAGAACGATATAGTTAGACTAAGCTTTGAATAGGAAATATAAACAAATAAAGTTTGAAGAGAGTCAAAGGAGTGGGAAAGAATGTATGGAGCCCGAGAAAGTGCTTAGGTATTGGTGAAAGAGGAGAGCGGACTCGCAGGGGGAGCAAAAAAATGGCAGCATATCCACGGAGTGAATGATGGAGAGTGGGGCGAAGCATTCGTCCGTCCATTCGTTCTTGCTTCCGTCCGTTCCTGCGTACGTCTGTGTAACCGTCCATGCGTCCATCCATCCGTCCGTGCGTGCGTCTGCTCGTGCGTCCGTCTCTGCGTTCGTCCATGCATCCGCGCCTGCGTCCGTTCATGCGTCCATCCATGCATCTGTCTGTGTGTCCGTTCGTCCATCTATTCAGCACTCCAAGTACCACCATCTCGCATCTTTTCATCATATATTCTCCATATAGAAGCACCGCCATCCAGTGGACATTTCAAGGACTAAACGGTAGTTGGCACATGCACACTTTCTTACGGCTTGCGCTTCGGGTTTACTTCCCACCTTTAACCACCTTGAGTTCATGGTATATACTAGTTCACTGTATTCATGGCTATGCGGCCCAACGCTCGCTAAACCTTTCTAAAACCAAGGAGGTTACACCCAGCGAGTATAACGTAGCAACCCTTTCTTGTCAGATCGTGCTCAATGTACATGCCAATAGCTGCTAATGGGGATCGCAGCGTGCGCGTTACCTAAAGGCCGAATGCTCCTGTCTCTCATTCCCCCTTAGCAGCCATTAACATGTGCATTGAGCACTATCTTTTATTGTTCAACAACACACAGAAGAAATCCCTCACCGGAACCACCTTGGAGGTCAAAATCGTAAGGACCGCTAATTCGGGTATGTGCCACTGGTGGTTACGTACTACGAGAGACGCACAAGCCACGCCATAAAGAGCTTCGCCCCTAAAAAAACGAACTGTCGGCAGTTAGTATGCGTCTCTAGTCTACGCGATATGGTAACAACAACAACAAAACTCCAGAGCATTCTGTTCCATGAAGTTGGCTGACCAGCGTAGCTGCCGGGCGCACTCTGCTCTCGTCGCCGTTCTTCGTAAGCTCGCTGCTCCTCGCACATTGCATGGCCTCCCCATACTTGCTGCGAAGAGCGCGAAAACGCAGTGCCCGAAATCGACTCACGACAACACACGTGCTGGCTGACTTTGATGACTAATGTCTTTTTCCAACACTTCCTAGAGGTCACCAGAGATTTTAACAGTCGAGCGCTTCAAATACACATTTGAATTTGAAGTCATAACACTATTGTCCTCAAGGTAGCGGTAGAAAAAAATGCAGTAAAGCTGGTGTCCTAGAATGAACCCCTCGTGTTTCCTAAAGAGAGCTAGGGGTTCTCTGATATGGTCAGGGACGTCAAAAAATCAAGGAGGTATGCGCAGTGTTTCTCTCCACTGTGAAGAAGTCCAACCACGGCGAGTTCAGAAAGGTGCACTCGCACGCCTTTTCAAGCGTGTCCAAGGCCCAACGTCAGAGGGGCGGAGAAAATTTATTGTATAGGACGATGGGAAGAAAAGCGCTTAGTGCACGGTAGGCAACAAAAACATAAGGACGAAATCGAGAGGAAAACGATACATGGTAACTCGAAGGTTAAAACTTGAGTGGTTTAAACAAGGTTGGTCTCCCTTAACACGCGTAGTTCCAAACCCAAATTCAGTGGAGGAGATCCATGTGCTTGCTGCGATCAAAAAGCTGCTATGAAAATGACGGAGCGTGTTTTATAGTATGGGAACAGGTCCGGCTTGTGCATATCTGCACATTTATGCCTAATTCTGTGTATGTTTCTGGTACTTCATTCTCACCAATGTTTGATACTAAATGAACGCTCTCAGCTGCTAAGATGAACTTCAGTCATTAATACGATGAATAATATATCAACTGGGTTGGAAACAAGCAGAAAAACAACTGTGTGCCAAAAAGCTAGGGAGTCTTAGACGCCACTGCAAATTGTCTATACCCTATCGTGCCAGGTGTTTTCCTTTGAATCACAGCTGTTCGCTTTATTTAGGCAGGTTATTCAGCCACAATTACTTTCAAAGGTGACGTCCCGGAGGCAAGTGCTATTCTGCAAGAGAGAAGAGAAAAACATGACGTATCAGACACCTACGTAAAGCCAGAATATTGCTTGCTCAACCGCGATACCCCGAATTCAACGTGATAGCGATAAAAGCACTAGTCCACAACGAAAACCCACTTAAGGAGGGGGCAAACGTAATTTCTCATTGTGTGTTTCATTAAGCTTGTGCTTATATAGAAGGTCCTTCTTTAGGGCGATCACTTAAAAAAAACATTCTCTGGTCACCGTGATTGCGCTTATAAATGGGTGATTGCAATTGGACGCTACACACTGTGCTATTACGAGCAAAAAATGTTTCTTAATACAGTAACAGAAACGTAATTCAATCAACCTGTTATCTGTCAGAGCAGCCTCTAATTGGGCATCCACCATGGCTAAAATATTTTTCAATCAAATTTACTAGCATCAGACTTTCAGAACCGACCTACTGAATGACGGTGTAAGAAGTTTATCGCCGATCATTAAGGACAAACGCCACAGTTAGAGGCCTAGACGATGAAGGCCATAATTAAAATGAAGTGATAATCAAGGAACTTGACAGTTGAGAGCAAAAACCTCGTAGTATTTTCAATTTTGACCAAAAAAAGAAACAGGTCTCGTAGCCACGAGGGGCTCTTATGCGCTGTAATCATATCGTGAAAAGAAATGACAGCCGATTATGTTACTAAATACATTATTAGTGAAAGTCTCCCATCAATGGCAGTAAAAACTTAATTTTTTTGCCGATTCAAACTACGAATATTCTGCCGTGGTCCACCACTTAAGCTGCTTGCGCATGTCACCAATGTACATACCTTGCTTTCTTTGCTGCAAACAAAAACGAAGCTTACATTTGTATCTTTCTTCGGATCGTATAATCATCGAGCAAGCTTTCGTCATCAACTGTACATTTCTAAAAGGGCTTACAGTTCCGACGTCCCCTTGGCGTCGCCATTGTCGACGGCATCTTGTTCTTTTCCTTCGTCATCATCGTTGTCATCATCATGCTATTCCCACCGCCTTTCCCCGTGCCTCCCATTTGTTGAGCGGTGCAGTTTGCCTTCGCCATGCCCATGTCCCATTTGCTCTTCATGTTTTTCATTGGGGAGGCTGTCACGCCCCCTTTCATGTCGCCGTTGGTCATGTCATTTTTTGCATTCATGTCCATACCCGACATCGTGCAGTTGTTTCCACCTTCGCCCATCTGCGCAGCTTCCATGCTCTCGCTTTCCGCGGACTCGTCTTCGTCTTCTTCGCTCGGTGCGCTGGACGGTGACATCGTGCTCTGCATATTGTTGCCACGTGACAAGCCTTGCTGCTTCCCGGCCCCCTTCATGCTTCCATGGTTCATCATAGCCTTCTTAGTCGACATACTTGAAGCGAGATTCAGCGTGGAAATAACAAGGTACGCGAAGATGAGACCGTGGAAACCATTCATTTTCACCGGTTTGTGAGGTTTTACGTTACGAACAACGTTGTCAGTCGCTTCGGTTTCAGCAGTTTGTAAAATGTGAACAACTGAGTAGTTTGTAGTGCGACCCGCGGGCAAAATCAGTCTCGGATTTACACAAAATGTAAACGAGCGTGGCCAATGGCGTGACTCGGAAGGGGGGCGCACATCGGAGCAACTATTTGGAAATCCCTATCGTGGGGACCCGCGTGCATATATATACAATCAAGCACGCATGCATGGTCACGAGCGTCTACGCTGAATGGCTCCTTCATGGCGTCGTTGGTTTTTTGGGGTCGTCGCTGTTTGAACAGCGTGTCGGTGACGAATCTCGCGGCACACACTGCGAGTCGCGATACCTCGCGAGACTGGTGGGAGGAGCATTAGGCATTCGGGGCTGAAGGTCGTCGTGGTGAGAGGGGCGGAACATGGGGTGGGATGTCGCTGAAGCGACGTTTGCGCAATCTCAAGGTGGTAACAATACGGCTTGTGTTGGCGCATCACTCGTTACGTTTAGCAATGCAGGAACGTAATCTTGCTTTATATCACGCTGAGCCTCGCACGAACTTCGCTTCTGTAGCTTGACCAATGGTGATCTCACACAGACGGGAATGAAATGGCTATTTTGGTCAACACGAACTTTAAGGCCAATGTTTCGTGCTACAGCTGTATCGATTTCTATCGCGATAGCAATTATTCTGACACTCTCAGCACGTTTTTGCCGTCACCGTCACTGTCTTGTTCCGGATGAAGTTAATATATAAAACAGCGTCTCGAGCATTGTATGATCTACGCTCCAGTAAAAGCACGTGAGCGCTGGAGAAAAACGCGGCTGAAGCAGAGATGAAACAAGCGTGACACTTCCGTAGCTCGAAGGTCGCATGCAATAACATTGCCTGGCGTGCGAAGCCTGCCATCGATGGCTCCTCAAGCAGCTTGACTAAAGAGAACGCCCCGGCGATCTTACGTTAACGGACGGAGAATAAAGGTACATGGACGACCGGGGAGTGGAGTGTGTCGCTCGAAGACCAATTCCGAACATTGATCATGATATCGCAGTTACCCGCTTTGTATTGTATCGTGCTCATGCTGGTCTACTGCTGACCAGGAGGTCACGGGTTCGAATCCCAGCCGCGGTGGCCGCATTTTTCATTTGGGCGACAATGCTCGAGGCCCGTGTATTTAGATGTAGGCGCACGTCAAAGAGCCCCAGGTAAACAAAATTTATGGAGGCCTCCCCTATACGGCGTCTCTCATAATCATATCCTGATTTTGGGACGTCAAACCATAACAATTATAATGGCGAGGTCGCGACAGCTTGCGCGCATGGCATTTCAGACATCATGGAAGTCGCTCCTCTCCCTGGTGCATCTGAGCTCACTTAAACCAGCGTATGTAAAGTTACATGAGATCTGATTGAAAAGGAATAACTGCCAGCTTACTTCGTATAACACTACAATTAGTTTTTATCGCATTCACTGCTCCGTCCAAGGGGTGAAACTGTGATCTTTTTATCCACCCTTGCTAAAGCGATACCGAGAGCCTCGTCAGAGCTGCTCTTGAATCCGCCTGGCACTAGGTAATACATCCACCCTTTTATCGTTTGGAGCCAGTCAGTTGGGTGCGGGCCGCAGTGATATTGTCAGCGCTACATAAATTCATTCAGGCAACCGGAAGGATAGGCTGCTAGTGGTACTGCCAGACATATCCAATTCTTTGTCCCCCTTCTTCATTTTTGCTATTTTGTTTTATATATTCTGGTTTATCAAATTCTTCTGCACTTTTTCGCGTTTTTTAAAGGAACATTATTATTGTTCTTATCTAATTTCTCTATTTGTTTGCAAGCGTTGTATAAAAAATTTCTATTATATGGTACAGTGTGGCCAATCCCTCTTGTGGGTATTAGCCAAGATCATCTAGGCGACAAGACAAGACAGCGTAATTGCTACAGTCTAACTGCACTGCGCAAAATATCTTCTGAGCTAACAAATTTTCCTGGTAGTAAATCTCTGCTCGTAAGCACATCTGGCTTATTGCGAATATATGGTGTACAAACATAAACCTTTATTCTTCAACGCTCATTCAAAAACGTATATAAATCTTTATTTGTGGCCCCCTATTTTTTCTTCCATGAGTGATTTTCGTATGTTCTAGTGAGCTTTATATTGCTGCAAATATTTATTTCAGCTAGTGCGACCTCTCATAAGTCTATGTAAGAATGACACCGTCAACATGGCGTAAACGTTAGAACCAGAATATTATATAGTGTTGATGATAATGGCGTTTCACGGTGCTCTCTTTGAAACGGTGGGAAAAGGAGGTGACATACAACCATTTTAGCCGTGTTTTTTGCGTATCTTCTTTTTCTTCATCACCTGTACTCCTGATGCAGACATGCATCACCTGTACTCCTGACGAGGCATGCAGATGCCATGCTTCTCGGCACAATGCTTAAGCACGATAGCAGAGACCATTAGCATTATTCCGTCTCATTGATCAGACATGGCGTGTTGACACAGGTTTCCAGGTCACAACTGGCCAACGTCGGTCGCTGCCCCGACCGTTTCAAGTTCCAAGCCACGCTCACTGTGGAAGCTATTCAACGGCATTATAAATAAGCATCAGTCCTTCCTGTAATGTCCAGCGTACGTTTCATCCGGACGTTTCATCTGCAAATGGCGGCCTCGTGCCCAATGTCCCAGGGGGCTGTTTTTTTACTCATGAGCGTCCTTGGCCTGAGTGACGCGAGCTTTGTTCGCGTTGCTCCCGATTGGCATTTCCGTCTGTTTTATTCGTCTCAGTTGCGCTTTCACAGAGCGAGAGCATGGCTTTCACAAAGACATGACATTGTTGAAATATGCGCAAAAAAAAAAACTATTTGTCGTCAGCTTACATCAAATGCATTCGGCATATCCGAGCACCGCAGGCACTTGAATGTATTATCGACGGTTTGGGAAAAAGTTTATTACCACGTTAAAAAGCAACACAAAAGTCACGTCAATAATTAGGACCACAAGTCTTTCTAACGTTGCGTTGTCTGCCTCTCTATCTATAGCGTGAAACGAAAGAGGAAACAGGAGCAAAAAAAGATGAAAGAGAGACGAAATGCTGAGCACACCGAGAATGAAAACAGGTAACAATGTCCGTGGCTTCTTTTCTTGGGGATAATGCATGGAGCAGCGCTGACGCACGCAGGATAGTAATCCAGTCAGTTCGATACGGTAAGCTCACCTATGGCTATCAGCGGCCACGATGTGGTGCAAGGTCATAGGGGCACAATGACGGGTCGTTACACATTACCGAACACGTAAGCCCTAATTTCTTACATACGCTTCGTAAGTCAGATGCCATGTATATATACCAGCACCCTACGCACCTCGTCATCTCGAGTCACTCCGGATCGTTGTATCGGTCACCGGAAACCGAAGACCTTCAGGATAAGCCTGTGCAGACGTTTCATGTGCGCGACGAGACCAGGAGACTTCGTGATCGTTAAGATAGCTTAAAAACTTTCTTTGTGAATGTGTTAGGACTCATTTGTCTCTCCAGTTACCAATTTTGCTCAGCTTTCCAGAGCTTTCCAACCCTGTAAGTGTGTTATAAAAAGCAAAGACACTGTTCTTTTGGACGAAAAACGCACGTTCAGCATTCGTGTTATACGCATCTAGGCTGAATCAGCCCAAGTCCTTCTTAAGACTATGACGTTGTTCGTGGGTCCAGCAACTTCGAAGCATGTTCTGGCCATGTACTGCATTCTGCTGGCAAGCCTGCCTCTTGTTTGCTTGAATGAACCTAACAGCAGGAGCGAGAATGCAAGCCCTGCCAACAACACGCTGACGAGAACAACGAGGAGCAGGTCTGACGTCATCATCGTGCAACCTGCCTGCTGCGGGAACGCACAGCATGCCCCGGCCCCGACTACATTGGGACCATTGTTCTTCTTGGGTCGCTTCGGCATCGGCTTCCGACCGCCTTCCATTCGAATAGTGGGCAACGTGGACACCCAGTTTGGCCGCCGATGACACCGATAAGCAACAAGCGCCGTGTGAATATTACTGTACTGCCATAGATGTAACCATCCGCGAGCTGCTTGAAGTTACAATCCCTGAATAAACAAATCATTGCACGCAACGGGATTCTGTGCAGTTGTGTGGATGCTGTCGGATTTTTATGCTTGGTGGCAACATGAACGCTTTATACCTGATTTCATAGACGCAAGAAGAGCAAACCAGTAGCACTGCAAACCACTAAAGCGAGTCTGCGTGTAGCCACTAATACTGCTGGCTACAACGGTAGGAAGCGCGGCAGCTTACACAGTAGAGACTTCCTAGTTCAGTCGTTACTGCACAGTTGGTTCTGACAGCACTACATACAAGGAAAAGAAGGGTCTCTTGCTTGCATGGCCTGTGGTGGCTTCCCGAGTAACGCTTACGTTCTGTGGGACTGTCCGGGTGGTAGCGCGACCATAGGCGAGAGCCTCAAGAACGTACCTATAAACCCAAGACCTGTGACCTGGAGGAGTGGCTGGCAGACTCCTCCCCAGACATCATGAAGACGCTGCTCCAATATTTGAAACTTCTAGGCATGTGTGATGGCTAGACCTTTATTTTAGTAGACCCGGACTGTGGTTCGTTTATTTTTAATAAAGTTGTTCTCTCTCTCTCTCTCTCTTGGTGCTCATAATCTTGCAAATTTCTTGAAGTTTAATATCGGAAGTCTATGTGCGATTCGACGCATGAAAACACAAAGTGCATATTAAATAAATGAATGGAAGAATATGCTTCAGACAAGCTGACCGACGTTTATATATGTGGGCTTATCTTTGTCCTCATGTTGATATGCTTACCGAAACATTGGTCAGCCTGTGTGAGGCACCTTCTAGAAGCTCAACACATAATTTTAGCAAATGTGATGACGCTTCATCAGGCGTCTGTCCTGGAGTTAAGTATCTGTTACGAGGGTCGCAAAGCTGAATAACTGTGCGGAAGCTAGATTTTCTTTTACACCTATTTCACAGAATTGAATGATGCGATATTCTTCCCGAGGGCACTTAATCATTTAGAAATAGCCTGATGGCACACTACATGCTGGTTGAATACTTATTCACAAGACCAAGGGTGCGGTAAATACCCTGCGTTCAAGTTGGATCGCTAAATTGCATGCATCCTTCATG